ATCCTATCTAGTTCCCATAGAGATGACGCTTATTAGAAAGAAAATAGATTAATTATAAGAAAAAAAGGGTCGGCTACCGAAGTTGCTTAAGTCACACCAGGTGCAAGCCATAAAATGTTAGCAGGCCTGAAGGCCAAATGATAAGAAAGACTCTTGTGAATGAAAAGTATGTGGGTGACATCCAGTTTCTGTTGAAGGTCAAGTTGCTGTAATGTTTTGAGATGACCTGTGTGTAAGCAATATGCACTTCCCCCGAAGATGTTGTTAAGGGTATAAAGGAGCTGTGCAAAAATAAACTTCAGACTTAGCCCCGAGCTTTGTCTCACTCACTCTCTCATTCGCCGACGCCATTCATCCTGAGGGTTCCCCTGGATCCTGCTGGGGCTGGACCCCGGCAGAAAACTGGTGAGATTCAAAGAAAAACTGGAGTTAGTTAATAATAATGTAGCAATGTTTATTTCTTGGTTTTGACAAATGTACCATGATTATTTAAGATATTGACACTGGGGGAGTCCGGTAAAGGGTATAAAGGAATGCTTTCTACCTTCTTTGAAACTTTGAAGAATTTCAGCAGAGAAGTAGAAACTATAAAATAGAACCAAGTGAATATTCTAAAACAGAAAAAAAAAAACAATATCCATAAATTTTTAGTTTAACATTCTTTCAAAAATGAGATTAACAGCAAATTCAAGATAAAGAAAAAAATCAGTGAATGTAAAAAAAAATCAGTGATGTGAAGATCTATCGCTAGAAACTCTCTAATATGAAGAAAAGAGGAAGAAATGAACTTCTCTTGAGTTCACAGAGTTTCAGTGACCTGTAGGATAATGTCAAGTAGTGTAACATAAGTGCTATATTTCTGAAGCTCTAGAAATACAGGAGAAATATAATAGAGAAGCACAAGAATTTGAAGAATTAATGGTCAAATAATCCCCAAATATAGTGCAAAACTTAACAGCTATGAGAAAATGAATCCCAATGAGGATAAAAGGAATATCACACATAAAGAATAATGTGATAAAACTGCTGAAAACCAAAGATAAAGAGAAAATAATGCAAGCAGTCAGACAAAAATAACACATTAACAAAGGAGAACAATGACAAGAATGGTAGCTGAATTTTCATCAGAAACCAAAAAGGAGAAAGACAACAAAATGACATTTTTAGAAAGGTAACAGAATAACACTACTGGTTCAGCCACTACAAAAACAGTATGGAGGTTCCTCAAAAAATTAAAAATAAAACAACCATATGATCCAGAAATTCCATTTCTGGGGACATATCCAAAGGAAATAAAGTCACATTCTCAAAGAGATACTGTGCCTCCATGTTTATTGCAGCATTATTTTTAATAGTTAAGACACGGCAATAACATGTGTCCATCAATTAATGAATGGTTAAAGAAAATGTGAGACATATACACCTGTCTCACATTTATATATACATATATGTATGTATGTATGTTCAGTTCAGGTCAGTCACTCAGTCGTGTCCAACTCCTTGCGACCCCATGAATCGCAGCACGCCAGGCCTCCCTGTCCATCACCAACTCCCAGAGTTTACTCAAACTCACGTCCATTGAGTTGGCGATGCCATCGAACCATCTCATCCTCTGTTGTCCCCTTTTCCTCCTGCCTTCAATCTTTCCCAGCATCAGGGTCTTTTCAAATGAGTCAGCTCTTCACATCAGGAGGCCAAAGTACTTGAGTTTCAGCTTCAACATCAGTCCTTCCAACGAACACCCAGGACTGGTCTCCTTTAGAATGGACTGGTTGGATCTCCTTGCAGTCCAAGGGACTCTCAAGAGTCTTCTCCAGCACCACAGTTCAAAAGCATCAATTCTTCGGCACTCAGCTTTCGCTCTCACATCCATACATGACTACTGGAAAAACTATAGCCTTGACTAGACAGTCCTTTGTTGGCAAAGTAATGTCTCTATTCTTTAATATGCTGTCTAGGTTGGTCATAACTTTGCTTCCAGGGAGTAAGCATCTTCTAATTTCATGGCTGCAATCACCACCTGCAGTGATTTTGGAGCCCCAAAAATAAAGTCTGTCACTGTTTCCACTGCTCCCCCACCTATTTGCCATGAAGTGATGGGACCGGATGCCATGATCTTAGTTTTCTGAATGTTGAGCTTTAAGCCAACTTTTTCACTTTCCTCTTTCACTTTCATCAAGAGGCTCTTTAGTTCTTCTTCACTTTCTGCCATAAGAGTGGTGTCATCTGCATATATAGGTAATTACAGAGTGCTGAATAGTTTCCTGTGCTATTCAGAAGGTTATTATTAGTTATCTATATATAGTCATGTGTATATGTGAATAAAACCACTTTCTAAAAAAAAAAAAAAAAAACACTTTCTAAACAAAGTAAGCTAGTTTACTATTACTAGTAAACTAGTAATAGTTTACTGGTTCAGACCCCATTATTAGCCCCCATTACTTTGCGTGTGGGAGGAGGGGCTGGATGTGCTGCAGTGTGGGGAGCATCCTTGCTAATGAAGAGGCTAGAGGCCCAGAGCAGGAAGGCAAAAAAATAACCTCTAACTTCTACTTGTACCTCTGACAAGAACCTTGAGATCAGTTCTGACAGGTGGCTCCCAGAAAGGGCACTGAGCCTGAGAAGCAGGGAGTGGCCCAGGTCATTTGCAACTGGATGGAAAAGGAAGTTCTCCCTTGCCCCCACTCCCAAAGAAGAAATTATTCCACTTTTGTTGTTGTTTAGTTACTAAGTTCTGTCCAGCTCTTTTGCAATCCCATGGACTGTAGTCTGCCAGGCTCCTCTGTCCATGGGATTTCCCAGTCAAGAATATTGGAGTGGGTTGCCATTTCCTTCTCAAGGGATCTTGCCGACCAGGGATTGAACCCATGTCCTCTGCATTGGCAGGCGGATTCTTTACTCTACTGGGAAGCCCTACTCAATTGCATTTCAGTACCTCCCACACATACACTTCTCTCCCTCCAGCCTAACACTACTCTGGGAAATGACCAAGAGGAAGACTTCTGAAATGACCAACAAATGAACATCAATTTTAGAATGAAAGTTCATTATAAAGGGGATTTTTTTTTTCCCCTGCTGTATCCCCCAAACTTGTTATAGTATCATTGCTCTCAGTATCTTGTTGAATAAATTGATAAGATCAAATCAATAGTAATGACTTAAATGACTGGCAATCCATGCAGCAAATTATACAACCATTAAAAAATGTATTTGTAAATTTCATGATATGGCGAAATACTTAACTTTTTTTTTTTTTAAGAGGAAAGGAATAACCCTCATGAAGGAAATACACAACCTCGTGGTAACTTTATGGATTTCTGATTAATAGTTCACTGTGTTTTCTGATTACAAGTTATTTTTATTACCAGAAAGCAACTCATCTTTCAATTTTTTTTTTAAAAGACACATCCAAACCCAACCCAAATATGCCCCCTAACCTGAATTGAATGCCCTAGGTAATTTTTAAAAAAAGACTCAGGATGGATTCTATACACCTATACAACTAATTTACCCCTAAACGATGAAAACAGAATGCTAACTCCACAACTTAAGAGCTGGGGAGTCCAAGGTAGGTAACTTAACCTCCATCGCCTTTAATTTATTCATTTGTAACGTTGGGATAAGGTACTTCCTCATTAAGGTGAGCTTGGAAGTGAATTCATTCTCGCCTAAAGCACTTTCAACAGTACCAGGCACTGCGGGGCTACGCAAGTGTTGGCTTCTTTTATTATTCATTCAAAATGCTGTTCAAGCTCTGGTGAGGATAACAACTCAAAATCTAGTCCCCATCCGCCAAGACAGAGGGAGGCAAATGCAACGGAGGAATCCGAGCAGAAGGAAGCCAGCCTGAAGCTGATCGGAGCAACCAGCGGGTACTCGAAGGACGGCGGGATTCCGTCTCAAGAGGGTGAGTCCCAGAGTCACTGGGGATCCAAACCAAGTTCTCACAACGGGTAGGACTTAAACACGCGGCTAAGACGCCAGACGTGAGGGACACCGCGAAGGCTCTCGGCCAAGGCGCAAAGACCAAAACGGAGTTGCTCAGGTCAGAATTGGTTGCAGAGTGTTCATCACACAAAATACCACAGGGGTGACAAGGTTAAGTCGAATAGTAACAACCGTCACACTTCAGGGTACTAAACCGCAGACAGGACGTAAAGTGACGTTAAGAAAGTCAGGATGACGACCCAGTCAACGCTCTCCACTATCGTCTAGGTGCCGATGTGGGACATCAAGTGATTCGCGGCCGGCACACGGCGAACCAGCGTCTCCCTCAGGCGGCAGACGTTGAGGCAGCACCCGTTCTGAAGCAGCACCAGAGAGAAGCAGTCGCGCGCGAGAACTACAGCTCCCGCCACAGCCTGGGGGGCAGGCCCCGCCCCGCACTTCCGCTTCCGCCACCGCCCTCTCGTGCCGCCACCGCCCTCACGTGCCCCCTCCGTGCAACCTACTAGGGAGCGTGACCGCGCGTGACCCCGCGTGACTGGGGGCCGGAGCCGAGAGGCCAGGAGGTGGGACTCTGGGACCCCCGTTAGTAGACAGGCAACCCGAAAAGGTGGAACTAAACTCGCAACTCTCGATAGGGATTGGAGTTGTTACGATGGAGAAGGAACCTAACGCCCACGATCCTGGCCAATCAGCGTCCGGGATGATCTGAAAGGCCGGAAAGGGGAAAGGGGCCAAATGGTTCTGCGGTCACATGCCGCGGGGTCTAGTGGGAGGAGCAGTTCCCCAGCGGCCACCCGGAGCTTCCTGTTTCCGGTTCCCAGAGTGGAGCTCAGCTAATCGCTAGGAGCGACGCTGGCTCCGCCACGAGCTCTGGGACCCGGGTCTGTGGCCGGCCCCTCGCTGGCCCTGTCTCCGAGCGACGGGCAGCTGCTGGGCCGGGGGTTCTGAGCTTTGCCTGCTCTCTTTGCACGTGACATGTGAGTATGAGGGGCGTGGAGGAGGAGGGGCTGGAGAGTGCTCACCCCTCGTGGCTGTGACGGGGGCCGAGATCTCTAAGTCTCGCTTGACCCGGGTCTTAGCCCAAAACTCCACATAAGGAGCCCAAGGGCAGAAAAACGGAGGCGTGAGGTTGGGCAGTCACAGAGTCCCCGAGGGAGTGAGGGAGAAAGGATCTCCAAGACTGGAGAGGGGATTTTAGTGTTTGGAAGGCAGGGAAAGGAAGATCGCTAAGTCTGGAGTCCGCTCGAGGTGTTACTGCATACCCGTAGACTGGGTCTTGGCCCGCATCGTGGAGGGAGGTCAAGGGGCTTCATTTGTAAAGGGTATGGCCCTCAGCAGTTGGAAAATCGGGAGATCAGACGCAGCGGGATTGTATGGAGCCCTTGAAGAAGTTTGAGGGAGATGAATGTGTGTGAAGAGTCCTCATAGAGAGATTTGTGTTCCTCTTTGTAGGAAGCTTCAGCGTTTGGTCCATAGAGCTGATTTCCTAAGGCTTTTCAGCGTTGAGCTGTTCAGCTAGTTAGGGCTACTCTTCCAGAAGTGTGAGCTGCTGGAGACTGGAGATAAGGGCCGCCGTATCAAAAATGAGCCAGAGAGAAGAAAGTAGAAATTCCAGTGACAAACGGGAAATGTTCATGGCTAGTCTTAAGGACCGGGGAAAGTGAGTGGTACAGGGGCCCAGCGATGTAAAGTTCTTTCCAGTTCCTGGCTCCATCATTAGTCATCCCATTGAAGGAGAAGTTTTTAGCATTAACCCAAATGAATCTATCGTTATAGAACAAGAAAGTTGAAAGGGATGCTTCAAAATCTTTAAGCCGTGCTGCTTAAACTTGCACCTTGAGGATCTAATAGCACATTAAAAAGAGACTACCCAGCCCTTGGATTTCATCCCCTTGTGTGTGCTTGCTTAGTTGCTCAGTCGTGTCAGACCCTTTGGGCTGTAGCCCGCCAGGTTCCTCTATCCATGGGGTTTTCCAGGCAAGGATTCTGGAGTGGCGTGCCGTTTCCTTCTCTAGTTCATCCCCTTACTGATACATTATTGCACTCCTTTTTTATCAGGTAGTTTTCAGAAAATATCTTTATGCCATGACTCATTCCAGTTGCCTTATTAACTTCATACACCTTTTAATACTTGTATAACCTAAAGCAAGTAACTTCAGCTCTATAAGAATCAGTTTTTTCATCTGTAAAGTGGGGGAAATTATACCTGCTTTTCTGGGTTGTGAAGATTAATAAACATAATCTAGATAAAGCTGTTAGCGCATACACCACAGAATCAGAGAAGCAGCTCAAATGTAGCCAAACCTTAAGCAAGAAAGAGAAGAATATAAATTTATTCTTATCCTATCTTTTTGAACCAATGAGCAAATAAAAGATAACTCAACTAATGCTGACTGCAGGGTGTTTAGCTGTTCATCCTTTCCTAGTTGTGTGAGAGTCTTTGTTCTAATTTGGGGAAAGAAATCCTCAACTGTTAACAGATAAGGAACTAACTGAAGCCAAAGAACACAGCCTTCTGTGCAAGCATCCCTCCAGAAAACTGGTCCTGGAAAAAAGAATATCAATCTAATAAAAGGAGCCTCATTTCATTTTAGTCAGTTGGTCACATTGTGTGTTGAGCAGTGAGTTAATTTAAGGAAGATAGGAGTTTGAGGTCTGGGTTCTTCATTCTGCCTTCTGTTCTGTGAAGTGTGAGAGGTCACTTCCCCTTCTTGCTTTGTCAAAAAGAAAGCAAGACTTTGGCTGCCTGCTCTGATCATTCCAAAACATTAATGTGAAAAGAAAATGTACATGTAGTGGTTAAGTGTAACCATGAGCTCAGAGCCTGACTATCTGGTTCACACTGCTCACTTACTATGTTTATTTTTCTCATCTGTAAAATAAGAGTAATTGTATTTACTGCATAGGGTTTTGGTAAGGCTTACCTGTATGCAGTAAATTCCTGGAGAAGGAAATGGCAACCCACTCCAGTACACTTGCCTGGGAAAATCCCATGGATGGAGAAGCCTGGTAGGCTACACCCCATGGGATCACAAAGAGTTGGACACGACTGAGCAACTTTACTTTCACTTTCACACATGTTAAATTCCTAGCAAAAAGCAAGCACTCTGTTAACTGTTTTCTATTGATGCTCTAAATGTATTTATGGGAGAGAGTCTCAAATTTGGGGAGCTGCTCCGGTGGTACTAGTGATAGAGAACCTGCCTACCAATGCAGGAAACTTAATAAGAGACGGGTTCGATCGCTAGGTTAGGAACATCCACTGGAGAAGGACATGGCGATGACTCCAGTATTCTTGCCCAGAGACTCCCATGGACAGAGGAGCCTGGCGGGCCACCATCCGTAGGGTCACAGAGTTGGACAAGACTGAAGTGACTTAGGACACATTCATGCTCAGACTTTGGGGTTGGCTATACTTACTCTCTGCAGACACCAAGTCAGGGAGATGACTTCCCAAGTATTGGTTGCCCTAGTGGAATGTGGGAAACAGAACATCAAGTGTAATTTTGTTTAACTGTTTCTTGTGGTGCCTTGGCGGTGTGGTCAGCCACTTCAAGATGAAGCTGAACATCTCTTTTCTAGCCACTGGTTGTCAGAAACTCATCAAGATGGACAATGAACAAAAACGTCATATCTTTTCTGAGAAGTGTATAGACACAGAAGTTGCTATTGACGCTCTGGGTGAAGAATGGAAGAGTTGTGTGGTCCGAATCGGTGGTGGGACGAGCAAACAAGGTTTCCCCATGAAGAAGATGTCTGGGCCCATGGCAGAGCCTGCACCTGCTACTGAGTAAGGGGCATTCCTGTGACAGACCAAGGAGGACTGGAGAAAGTGCAAATCTGTACATGGATGCCAGTCTGAGTGTTCTCAATTTGGTCATCGTAAAAGAGGGAGAGAAGGATACTCCTGGCCTCACTGATGCAACTGTGGCTTGTCACTTGGGGTTAGCAGAAGAGCTAGCAGAATCCACTGTGGTCTTTCTGTGTGGCCACAAGTATGCTGCGAAGTAGCCCCTAAACAAGGAAGGTGAGAAACCTAGGACCAAAGCTCCCAAGATTCAGCATCTTGTTACTCCAGTATTGTGCAACACAAATGTCAACGTATTGTCTGAAGAAACAGCATAGTAAGAAAAATGAGAAACAGGCTCCAGGAGACACTCAGCTTTTGGCCAAGAGAATGAAGTGGGCCAAAGAAAGACTCCAGGAACAAATTGCCAAGAGACGAAAGCTGTCCCCTCTCAGAGTTTCTACCTCTGAGTCTTGAGTCCAGTCAAAAATGAGATGTCCCTTTAAAAAAAAATGAGATGGTCTAAGAGTAACAAATAAGTAAGATCAGACATTCAAAAAAATATATATATGTTTAGGATAGTGGAGAAAATTTATTCAGGTGCCTATTAGTACCTATTAAATTCTGCTTATTTTATGTTTTAAATAGAATCAATGGAATCAGTAGACCAGCATGAAGAAGAATTAGAGACTTCAAAGAGTATTCAGGCCAAAGTCTAGACTTGCAGCATGAATATATTTTGTTGTAAATGAGAAAAAGTTGGAAGAATTGAATCTTTGTATCAGGAAAATTGGTGATACTTTATAAAATTAGCAGGTAGCATTATACAGAGCGAAGTAAGCCAGAAAGATAAAGACCATTACAGTATACTAACACATATATATGGAATTTAGAAAGATGGTAACGATAACCCTATATGCAAAACAGAAAGACTCAGATGTATAGAACAGACTTGTGGACTCTGGGAGAAGGCGAGGGTGGGATGTTTCAAGAGAACAGCATCGAAACATGTATATTATCTAGGGTGAAACAGATCACCAGCCCAGGTTGGGTGCATGAGACAAGTGCTCGGGCCTGGTGCACTGGGAAGACCCAGAGGGATCGGGTGGAGAGGGAGGTGGGAGGGGGGACTGGGATGGGGAATACATGTAAATCCATGGCTAATTCATTTCAATGTATGACAAAAACCACTGCAGTGATGTAAAGTAATTAGCCTCCAACTAATAAAAATAAATGGAAAAAAAAATTAGCAGGTAGCAGTGGCCTGGGGGATGGTTAATGAATACCAAAGTGAATTCTTCTGCAATAGTAAATCAGTGTACCCTGGGTGTATAAAGGGGCTTCCTAGGTGGTGCTTGTGGTAAAGAACCTGCCTGCCTGTGCAGGAGACATAAGAGACGTGGGTTCGATCCCTGGGTCAGGAAGATTCCCCAGGAGGAGGTTGTGGCAACCCATTCCAGTATTCTTGGTTGGAGAATCCTGTGGACAGAGTAGCCTGATGGGCTTTCCTGGTAACTCAGCTGGTAAAGAATCCACCTGCAATGCAGGAGACCCTGGTTCAGTTCCTGGGTCAGGAAGATCCCCTGGAGAAGGGATAGGCTCCCCACTCCAGTATTCTTGGGCTTCCCTGGTGGCTCAGCTGGTAAAGAATCCGCCTGCAATGCGGGAGACCTGGGTTGGGAAGATCCCCTGGAGAAGGGAAAGACTACCCACTCCAGTATTCTGGCCTGGAGAATTCCATAGAAAGAGGAGTCTGGCAGGCTACAGTCCATGGGGTCGCAAAGAGTCAGACATGACTGAGCGACTTTCGCTTTCACTACAGTCCGTTCATAGGTGTATAAATGAAATTAGAGAAAAGAAAATGAGTTTGGAAAACAGCCACATGTTTCCATACCTCAAACAGTTCAAGCATCATATGAATTGGATGTGTTAATTGTAAAGTGACTTGGTAATTCTCAAGAGTTATCAGCAACTGGAATGTAGGAAGACAGTTATACTTACTAGAAATCTAGAAACTCTTGGATTTCATGGCTTGAGGTGGGTGTTAGAATACTTACTCAGACCATTCATGTGGACCTCATGAAGTTTGTTCATCCTATCATTTAAATGGTTGAATGATTTTTTTAGAGATGAGACAGAACAGATAGATGTCAAATCTTAGGTGCTGTGGTTATGTTAATCTCTGTTCATCATTTTTGTGGTAAGTATGAACAAAGACTGTTAGATGCTTCTGAATATTTAAATGAGGACTTAGGGCCCAAAGTATTCAGGTCTCTTTCTCTGTTTTACATCTTTCTTAATAACTTTCAACTAGCCCTTATCAAGTGTTCATTGTAATTCAAGTATTATCTTAGGAGGAAGGTTTAAGTAGTTTTAATGAACTAGTATTAAGCTTTAAATAATGAAACATCTCAACCTAACTTCTCACCAAATGGTGGAGGCAAGGATATCTCCATCAGGCTGTCATAAGTAATTCTTTTATGTTTTCTGGTTTGCCTTTTCTCAGCCCTATAGTTATCTTCTGAAGGACTTACCTATGAATTAGACTGAATGTGATTGATTTATATAGTATCTTGACACAGGTGATAGATAACTATTAGTATATGTGTGTGTATATATGTACAGATGTATGGGTTTTCTGACACAAGTAGATATTAATATGTGTGTGTGTGTGTTTATATATAGATGTATGGGTTTCCTGACACAGGTGATAGGTAGATACTAATATCTGTGTGAGTGTGTGTAGTTGTATGGGTTTCCTGACACAAGTGATAGGTAGATATTTTTGTGTGTGTGTGTGTGCTTCGGTTTCCTGGAAAAGTGATAGATATTAATTTATGTATGTGTGTGTATATATATGTATAGATGTGTGGGTTTCCTGACACAGGTGATAGATATTATTATATATATTATATGTGTGTCTATATGTGTATAGATGTATGGGTTTCCTGACACAGGTGCTTTGGTGCAGAGATATTGAAAGGTACTATTTGTTGCAGGTGCCAAAGAATCTTACTGTTCAGCAAGATCAAAATACTCTTCATTGGTGACACTTAAGTATTCTCTAAGCCATTGATTGATTCTTCTGACAATTTCTAGGACCAAAAATGTATTCTTGTTTTATGCACACATTGCAGAAATCTCAACAACTGTCTGTGTACACTAACTCTGCCCCACTAACTCTGCTGTCCACTTTGTTGATTGCACATGAAAGGGGCAAAGTAAGGACTGGAAATGAGAGTGGTATCAGGTGAGGGAATCACGTAGGAAGAGTCTTTTAAAATATGTTTTAAGACTTCCCTAGTTGCTCAGTGATAAAGAATGCACTTGCCAATGCAGGAGACACAGGTTCTTATCCGTGGTCCAGGAAGGTTCCCCCATGCCCTGGAGCAACTGATGCCATGTGCCACGACTGCTGAGCCTGTGCTCTAGAGGCCAGGAGGCGCAACTACTGAAGCCCACAAGCCCTAGAACATGTGCTCCACAACCAGAGAAGCCACTGCAATGAGAAGCCCGCGCACCACAACTAGAGAGTAACCCCCGCTTGCTGCAACTAGAAAGAAGTTCATGCAGCACTGAAAACCCAGCACAGCCAAAATAAATGAAATTATTTTTTAAAAGATAAGAAAAGTTTTGGGAAAAAAAGAAACCTGGAGACTTAAGCATCCAATTCTGTATATTAGATAATGAGGGGAAAAGAACTTGAAATAGAGACAAGAAGATAAAGCCTCACATCATAATAATGAAGAAAACTGGCTAGTGTAAAGTAATAGGTGGTGGGTGGAAGATTAACAGGTTTAAAAAAAAATGCCATTCACTTATTACACATTCATGTGCTCTATTTCTTTCCCCGATCCTCTCCCTGTTTCCCCAAAATACACATTCCCTGTCCCAAAAGGATGTCCCCCCTCCACAGCTCCTGGAGGACTGGCCTGCTCCTGCTGCTGCTCTTCTCCGTGGCAGTCAGAGAATCTTGGCAGACTGAAGAGAAGACATGCGACCTGGTGGGAGAAAAGGGTAAAGAATCAGAGAAAGAGTTGGCTCTCCTGAAGAGGCTGACACCACTATTTAACAAAAGGTAAATGAGAAGAACCTTAAAGGCCTTGAGAAAAAACAACTTTATTAAAGAATCTCCTCTTATTGACTATTAATTTTTGTTATGTGACTACTGAATATAGAGGGAATACATGTATCATAACCTCCTCTGAGAGATGGTTCTAATCTGTATGTTAACAATGTTGGCCTTATTTGGCCATGCTGTCTTGCTTTTCTGTATGATGGAGAGCACATGCTTAGCCCAGTGTTCAGCAGTGATGTGCAGGTACTTTATGCAGAAGAGTAGCTGTTTGTAAGATTGGACCCAAGAGACCAGCTTGTAGGGATTAAAAAGCATTATTCGATACCTTGATATTCAGAAGTATCAGATGAACATATTTGGGCCTACTACTACATCATCGTAATGGCTTCCCAAGATGGTTCAGTGGTAAAGAATCTGCCTGCCAAGCAGGAGATGTGGGTTCAGCCCCTGGGTTGGGAAGAACCCCTGGAGAAGGAAATGGCAACCCACTACAGTATTCTTGCCTGGAGAATCTCATGGACAGAGGAGCCTGACCATGGGGTCACAAAAAGTCGGACACTGAAAATGAAAGTGAAGGGGGCTTTCCTGGTGGCTCAGATGGTCAAGAATATGTCTGCAATGTAGGAAACCTGAGTTTGATCCCTGGGTTAAACATGACTAAGCAACAACAATATGTCATCATAAGTGTCAAGAATCTTCAGATACATAAATCTGAAGATAATCTTTAAGGAACTAGCATATGTATCATGAGCGTACACCCTTATTCACAGGGAGGTACTAGCTAATACTTCAGCGTAGTCTAGGACAATTATTCTAGAAATATCTAGAATACTAACTGTCTTGGAGTCTGTATTTTCATCAGTCGTCATCAACAGTTAGTCTGTCTGGGTCATGGTTAACCTCACGATGCAACAAGATATTCACTAGGACATTTAGCCATGATGTTTGATAAATAAGTTGAGCGCACTGTTGTTTGAACGAGGCTTCTCTTTCTAAGGCTGACAGCTCTAACTGTCCTCTCCCTCCTCTCTCTGCGTTTCTGCTCCCAGCTTTGAGAGCACCGTGGGCCAGAGCCCAGACATGTACAGCTATGTGTTCCGGGTGTGCCGAGAAGCTGGCAACCACTCCTCTGGGGCAGGCCTGGTGCAGATCAACAAAAGTAACGGGAAGGAGACAGTAGTTGGGAGATTCAACGAGACTCAGATCTTCAATGGAAGTAAGAGTCTCCCTGTTGATCAGCTCACTGAATCCCTGTGATAACCATGTATGTCTCGGCCCTTCCCAGGCTGTATCATATGGATGTGTTGGTTCAGCTCACCTGAGATACCTGCAAATGACAAAACACCCAGCTCCACCACTCCACCACAACCAAGGCTCAGGACATTTATATGTTTGTGTTAAAGTGAGATTAAGCTTTTTGAAGGCCAGTCATTCTACAAAAGTCTCCCCACCAACTTGAGTTATGTTGATAATATTTCTCAAAAGTCATAAAATCATTGCTGGAAAGAACTATGTGAGCAACTATGGTTTATTTTATTCCCTTAAGCAGATAAATAGATAACTAAGTGCAGATTGTTGTTGCTGTAAATAACATAATAAAAAACAATGTCAACAGTTTGGGCCTGGGGTCAGAAGACTAGATTTTTGATCCAGCTCATATTTAATTATCCTATGACTTTGAAAAATCATTTGACTTTTTGTTTTCTCATACGCAAAGTTGGAAGGAGAATCCTTACCTTGGTCACCTCACATGATTATTAATCAAATGATGTTTTGCAAAAGAAATTTTTTTTTTTTTAAATTTTCTAATACTAAATTTATTCAATACCCTAGTAAAAGTTTTGATTATAAGTATCCAACAGTATAAAAAGTACAAAACAGATTTGTAGATTTCTAATATATTAATACAAAGTGCATGACTACATACAGTACATCCTACAGGCAAAGAGAGGTGGAAGGGGGAAAGAAGACTGTGGTTGAGGTCTAGTAATAAATAAATAAATACAGAAGTAGAGATGTCCATATTATAGTATATTCTACCACCAATACTGCAGCCAAAATGTACAAAAAAAATTTCAAAATAACTCAGGAGGAAGATGATAATGGCTGGGGTTCTTGTAATACACCTCAAAGTCTGTGGGAGCACTGACCCAACTCACTGTGTAGTCTGCATATGGTGGCTTGTAGTTTTTTCCAAAGGAAGAAATATAAAATTTTAAGTTGCGACTAAAAACTATAAAACTATAGGGTGCCCATAAAAAGTGGCTCACTCTCTTGTTACGTATACTATCCAATCTTTAAAATCCAGTTTTAAAAATAAGCACTGAGTCATGTTTTACCAGGGAGGCTAACGATCGTTCCTCATTATGAAAACGGGTGATATATTTTTCCTGTACTTTTAGAAAAGAGGCAATAGATAGTACTTTGGTTTGGGTTCAAGTAAAAGGCTTTTAATGAAGGTTTTAGAATGGAAGAGCTCCACATTTAGGATGTATCATCTAACACCTCAATGTTCAGAAAGCCTGACTAAAAGAAGCCAAACCAAAACCAGCCCACTCAGCATTAACACACACCTCTTTTCTTTTAGTAGAATTTTAATATAGAATGAAAAAAAAAACAAACCCAAAACGCTTAACAGGTTAAAACAAGTCAAACAACCATTCTACACAGATAAAACCTTCACAAAGGTCAACTGAAGTAATCCAGAGCTAAAACTGAATTGTGCAGATTTTCAGTGAAGTCACCAGTCACGTAACATAAATTATTTACACACTTGCAAGTCCTCTAAGAAACGTGCCCCAAGAAGCATTAACCTTTGTTTTTCTCATGTGCCATCCTAAAGACTTGCACATTGTTATTTTTCAGATAATCTAACATTTTCAATAGAGAATGTTCTCTACCAAGTGGTAATGCTTTGGTACTATTCATATAGGATTGCTTATTCTAAAGACTTGACATTTCCCCAAGAGGAACTTTGATTCTGCTTTAAGTTTTGATTCTGCTTTTTAAGTTTCATATAAATTAAAATCTGTATCAAATATCAATATGGAGTGAGGTGACACAGGATGCAACATATACAGTCAAGTTACCTTTGCCTATTTAGAAATTACTCCTTCAAGATATTTGCACCAGAGAGCTGTCTGTCCTGCTTAATATTCAGTAGTACAGGTTTGAATCACCAGAACCTTGGCAAGACCTTAATATTTCAGTTATTAACAACTACCTCTAGGGGCAAGTCCATGTTTACTGAGTTATGACAAATTTATTATAACGAAGGAAAACAAGTGTAGCCAGCCATCTTAAAAAATGCCCCAACCACTGCTTCTCAAAATAGAAAGACTAAAACTACATACGTTTATCATACAACAAATCCCATCTCTGTCCCCTGAAAATTCCCCTAATTTCATTCATTAGAAGGGGATTTTTAAAAAAGACTTAAAGAGCACTTTACAGCAGCATTCAGCTTTCCTATGAAATACTCAGCATCTTAAATATTATGTACACTTCTTTTTTATCTCTTAGTAAGCTTCACTGGCTTCAGAGTTTGTGGAACTGGAGGAAAAATAACCCATTCAAAACTATTCTACAAATCCATCTTTTGGCAGAATAGCAGGTATCCAAATTAAAAATAGGAGGGTCATTTTGTTGCTTTGTTTTCCAAAATTTAAATCATTTTTGCTCCCCTTCTACATAAAGCTTAGTCACCACTCCTGAGTGGAGATGGGCAGAGGCTCTGGCCCCTGCTCCTCCGGCTTCTCAGCAGCTGCTTTCTTATTGCTGCAGCAAGGTTTGAATAGATGTGTGTCGATGAGGACTTCCCCAAAACGGCCTTTATAGATAATGCCACAGCATATTTTCTGTCTTTTCCAATATGTGAGATCTAAAAAGGAAAACACTGGCGTTCTGTTGGAGCCAGAAGCCATCTCTGTATCTGAGCCATCATCTGACTGGTTACTGTAACAGGGAGACTGAGCTGGAGAGGCACTTGAGGTTGTACTGTGAGCATCAGAATTGTGGCGTTTAAATTCCTTCTGCAGTTTACTGATCTGGTTACTTTTTATTCTGTTTCCAGATAGAGTTTTCACTTTCTTTGGTTTCAGTGTAGTCTTTAGACTGGGTCCTGCCCTTGCATCTACCACATGATTCCAGTTTTTTTTTGATCCTGCTGGCAATTTCTTCCATCTTTTGACAAGCAGGACACAGGCATTACAGATATCTCCTGAACGAGTCTCATGTAACCCAAAGCAGCTCTGGAAATCCTTTTCATAGCGCTTACTGTCAGTGAATCGAGAACTGGAGGATTTAGCTCTGCAAATACAGCAGCCCTCTATACTTCGGTACATCTTTGGCTTGTGAAAACCAAACATCTTTTCTTCTGGGCAATTGCCTTCCAAAAGCAGCCGTTTCACGCGCAATAACGATCCCGAGGGGCGCAGTGCACGCTAAGTCAACCCCCCCTTCAATCGCTCCCTCCTCCTCAACAGCCTTGTCTAGAAAGATTGTCTCCTGCAGTTCTGCAGTTGCTACCGCTGGCCGGGAAGGTGTAGATTCCGCTTTTGCAAAAGAAATTTGAACAAGTAAATACTGAAGAAGGAAAAGTGTCCCCAGTCTTCAAAGTCATCCACTTTGAATTTATCTGTGGTTAATTTAAGATCTTAGGCTTTCCCTTGCCACCCAATAATTGAATGAAGCCTCTTGATGTTAGCAGGTGTTCAGAGAATGTGAGTCATGACTCTCATGGATCATAATTGTATTTGCACACTATCGGTTGCCTACTTTTAGTGTGGGAAATCAAGATTATTCTTGTATGCATATCTGGTTCTTAGTTGTCTTAACAAGGGAACACAAGCTGTTGTAAAGGGGCGGGTTTTAACTGGTATTTCTGGTATACCAGAGCTCATCCTGAGGGTTATTTTAACTAAAACCAACTTCACTGAACTTGGTTCGACACTCCCACAGTACCCAGGTCTGTCTCTGCTTTTCCCCCACCCCCAAGCTCCTTTTTCCTTGTCCATCCTCAGGTAATTGGATCATGCTGATCTATAAAGGGGGTGATGAATATGACAACCACTGTGGCAGGGAGCAGCGGCGGGCAGTGGTGATGATCTCCTGCAATCGACACACCCTAGCGGTGAGGCACCCCGGGGCCTGGGAGCCTAGAGAGGAGATGAAAGGACTGACCTGAGGTGGTACAGAAAGTCCAGAGGGAACAAGATAATTGGGGTGGATGAGGTAAAACTAGACATTCAGGGACTTCCCTGGCAGTCCAGTGGTTAAGACTCCCCACTTCCAGTGCAGGGGACGTGAGTTCGACCCCTGGTTGGGGAACTAAGATCTCACATGCCATTTGATAGCTGCCAAAAAATTTTTAAAAAGTAGAAGTTCAGTTTTTCCCTGAGTCAGAGGCATCCATCTTCCATCATACATGGAAAATAAGTTCTTAAACCAAGAGAAAGCAAATGTTTGGGGGGGGGGGGCGGGTTGTGGGTTTGTGCTCCTTTTCAGACAGGCGTCAGAAGCAAACACCTTACCACATAAATGTTGTGTCTGTCCTCTTACCATCAGGACAACTTTAACCCTGTGTCTGAGGAGCGAGGCAAAGTCCAAGATTGTTTCTACCTCTTTGAGATGGACAGCAGCCTGGCGTGTTCCCCAGAGATCTCCCACCTTAGCGTGGGTTCTATCTTACTTGTCACGTGAGTCCTTCTTCCTTTATCAGTCCAAGCCTTTTTTTTTTAACTCAGCAATCACTTGGAAGTATACGGGTTCAAATAGTGTGTGTGCATTTGTATGCTATATTATAATTGGAGGGGAAAGAAGTCTGTGAATATCCTCTTTAAACTCTGCAAGTTTAAAAAAATGAGAATGTTTTATCCCCAGTATATGCATTTGGAGATGGGGTTTTTTCCCTACTGAAGGACTGGACAGTTTTTATTACGCTCCCCTTATTAGATTAGTAGAACTTTTGAAGAAATTGGACTGTTTATCTAATGGTGACTGTTCTCAACCCTAAGTGAGTCACACACTGTCTTGCTTTTTTCTGATCCAAAGGTTTTCTCAGACAGACAGCACTCTTAATTGGTTCTCTTAGGCTCTACCAGCCCCCTTTTTCTTTCAACTGACTACCCTTTCTGTTTTTCCATTTTTATGGAACAGCTTAGGAAACAGGTAACAATGAATGGGCTTTACTGATTCTCGGGTTTTGAGTATAGATGTCTTTCTACCTCACAGGTTTGCCTCACTGGTCGCAGTCTATATCATCGGGGGGTTCTTGTACCAGCGACTGGTGGTCGGAGCCAAAGGAATGGAGCAGTTTCCCCACTTAGCCTTCTGGCAGGATCTTGGCAACCTGGTAGCAGTAAGTAACAGGGCAGCTGGGAGACAAAACAGGTGACTGACCATTCATCCTGGTTTGCCCAGACTTGAGGATTTCCTGAGACACAGGACTTTGGGTGCTAAAACCACCCCAAGTCCCAGCAAACCAAGACAATTGGTTGCCCTAATACAGGGTAATAAGTAACATAGCACCTTAACATCTGACCTTCCAGACTGACTGGAAGAACAGTACTGTTGCTTAGATTTATGAAACTGATCCAACTATTTAGGGGCCTACATGAGGAGAGGGTGTTTCCCCAAATTCAGTTTAGGCCAATCACTGGAGCTTTGGAGTTTTCTGTTCATTATCTCTGGAGAAAGCTAGTTCTTGCCACCTTCTTAGACAATAAACACACTGTGCCCACCTGAAAGTTGCTGATTTCACATGATCACTTCTTTTGCTCTTCCCCCTATAGGATGGCTGTGACTTTGTATGCCGCTCTAAACCCCGAAATGTGCCTGCTGCCTATCGTGGTGTGGGGGATGATCAGCTGGGGGAGGAGTCAGAAGAAAGGGATGATCATTTATTACCAATGTGATTGCACTTTAGATGTCCAGCTTCTTCAGCCCCCAAACCAAAGCATCCTCTGGCAGATTTCTGAAGCAGCCTCCACTCCAGTCTCTCATCTCACCCTCAGTCTTGCTCTTGCTTTCTGGTTTGCTTTTGGTTTGCATCCACCTGTCAATAGTAGAAATGCCTTTCCCTTTGTTCCCTGTTTGTTTTTCCCTCCCGAGAGGTACAGCTGCAGGACAGAGATAATATAATAGGGCCAGTCACAGCAGAGGCTGTTGCACTGTCTTCATACCAGAAAATACAAGTAGAGGAGTTACTGTGAGCAAAAGGGTGCAGCAGGCTCCCTTTCTTTCTTTTTTAAACACATTTTCACAAGTTTTTGAGACACTGGATTTCTTTAATTAAAAAAAAAAACATTATTTATAGGTTTGATTGCTTTCATGCTGTCACTCTGCCCTACAGTAGTCTCCATGAGAGTCCGGATGTAACTTGCTGCTGGGAACTGTTTTGCAGTGATTACTTGGTCAGAATCCAAGGACTGCCATTTGGTCTGAGCCTGGACCAGATGAGGTTGTAGACTTATTTCTCCCACCTCGGGTCAGGATGGAAACTGTGAAATTTCCCAGGATTACAAGGTAACCAAACATCATTGGCTGGCACTGGAGTGACCTTACAGCTGGAACTGGGCCCTGGGTCATCATCTTGGGTTACTGGTCCACCTGCAGCTAAAATACCTAATCCGCAAGTCCAGCCCATTGGAAGGGATGCTGAAATGGACCTCCTGTGCCACCAGGGTTGCAGAAGCAGGAAGTCCGTTTACCTTGTAGTGGGATACCCTTGATGGCTTGCTTCTCCCACTTGCAGTCAAAGCTGGCAGAGCTTTTCTTACTCCTGAAATGCTCCCTCTACCAGTATTTCTAAACATGTTGCACTTTCCTTCACAGGCATTTGTTTTGGCTTTTTTTTTCTTTTTGGTGCCCTCCAGTCTCCTGGAAAGGGAATGGAAGCAGAAGTGGGACATGCAGGGCCCTGCCATCTTTGGCCCTGGGTGCAGGCTCCTGCTGCGCCTGTCCTTGCTTCTGGCTCAGGGATGTGTCTTCTTACCTAGCATATCTCCGTGGGGAGAGGGGCTTAAACCTCTGATGCTTCCGCCCTTCCATTTAGGCCACATGCCCAGAAACCTGGCCTGATCTTTGTGTGACAGGGAGCCTAGGCCGCTGAAGAGGAATGTGGCTCCCCTGGCCACATAAGGACGGAATCAATAAGCAGGGGGCTTTTTTAGCCTTTAGGAAAGAAAATGAAATTATTTCATCTTTGGACTTTTAGATACTTTTAGATATTTCATCTTTGGACTTTGGAATGGTATTTTTTCTTTTCTAAGCAGGGAAAATGATGTTATAAAAGCATTTTTCTGTTACTTGTTTGCATCCCTCCCCCATACTCTGGTGTTTTAAAAATGCGAAAAATATATATACATTTTTTTGTACAAAAACACTTAAAAGATTTAAAAAAAAAAAAATGTCAGCCTAGTCATTTGTGTGCAAGAAGCCAGTAGATACACTGGAATGATGGAGTAAGACAATTGAGACCAATTTTCATCCTTTTTACAGAGGAGGAAAAAAAATATTTAATATTTTTGTTGTATAAGGAATAGCGCCCACGGCAGGTCCTTCTACTCCAGACCTCAGCCCCACGCACTCCTGCTTTATAAAGCTATAGGACAGAGCAGAGTTGGAATGGAAAGAAAAGTAGGGTAGAAGACAACAGATAAACTGAAGGAAGCAGGGGGGTGCAGAAAGAATGACAACAGCCACACGTGTACCCAATACTTTTAGTCCCTGCAGCAACTCAGAATGATGGCAACCCAGTCCCTACACTGGCCAGTGAGGATGCAGGAGAAGATGTCCAACACTACAGGAGTGACAACAGAAGTCTGGGCCACAGCTACAGTCAGGAGGAACTGGAGGGAAGGGGGAGGACCAGGTTTTGCTACTTGTGTCACACAAGCTGGAAAACTCCCCTGCTGCCGGGGCCGAGGCACACCTAGTCCACCCATTTTCTTGCCTCGCCACACTGTACATTCCTCCTCCTGGAGAATTCAGACCCTGGCTAGACACTCCACTCCAGGATAAGGCCGAGCAGTCCTAGTTCTCTAGACTGCCTCTTTCACGAAGACTGGATTAGGGTAGGTGAAATTGTGAAGATTTAAAAAATAAAACCCAGAGAAACATCAAAGCTGCCACCAGGTAGCACCAGCGACCAGTTCTTCCACAGTTCTTCCCTGTCTTGGTGATCCCTCCTGCAGAAGACAGCACAGCTCTTGTCTTCCTCATGGAGTCTGCTGGCACCAGGTTATAACCTGGACGGTGGGGAGTGTCTGCCTTAGGCTGGTTTGTGCAAGAGGGCCACCTTAGGTCTCCTTGAGGACATTTATCTTAGCACAGATCTTGAGGGCAGGACCCAGCTTGATGTTCATGGCACTCATGAGATGTTCCTCTTTAAGTAATAAGAGGGCCTGTCCATCAATCTCCTGGGAACGAAACTCCTCTGCAATCTCTTGGCAGCCTAGGAGGAAATGGTGGGGTATGTATGAGAAGCTACATGGTATGATCAAAAGTACCTGTCCTAAATCCAGTGATACAGTGGCCCAAGAAAATGGAAGCAAAATGAAACCAGAGCAACTAGCCGTTTTTTAAAAAAAGAGCCAAGATAAAAGAACTAAGGTGTTCCACCAACTAAGCTATTCAATTCAGATAACTTGAGGAAAGGAAGGGAGAGAGCAAAATATAGTATGTTTTCTTTGACACCAGCAAGAAAATCAGCCTTCATGCCATCTTTAAGGGCCCAAATTTCAGACAAAACAGCAAGGAGGGTAGGATGGTTTTCCTTTCTGGACAAAACTATCCCTTGTCAAGTGCATGTGTATACATGCTCAGTCCCGTCTGACCCCATGGACCATAGCCCACCAGGCTCCTCTGTGAATGGGACTCTCCAGACAAGAATAGTGGAGTGGGTTGCCATTTCCTTCTCCAGGGGATCTTTCCAACCCAGGGGTCAAACCTGTGTCTCCTGCATTGGCAGGCGGGTTCTTTACTACTGTGCCACCTGGGAAGCCTATTAGCAGAGGACAGTCAACCTGGAAACCAGGCTGTGGACAAGTAACCCAAATAAATACCAAAAGCAGCACCTTCATCATACCATACTTAAGTCTCTACATTTCCATTTACAAAGCCCTGTGGGATGGCCTCAAAAAAACCACAGAACAACAAAGCAATACAGGTGACCTGGGTTCTCGCGGACAGGCCCTTGATACCTTGTAGAGAAGCAATGAACTCATAGACCTCCTCTACGCTCCAGCGGCTAGGATTACTGGATAGGAACACAGGGTTGATGCCATGTAATTCTGGGGTGGGCGGAGCTGTGTTGGGATTCCCCAGGTCACGTTCTCCATGCCCTGCTCTCACGGATAAAGGCCCAGGAGATGTTGGAGAGAGTGCTTCATCGTAACTGGAATTATCTGAACCCCGGCTAGAGTCCTCTTGACCCTACAAGAAAAACAGTGAGGTCATCAGTAAGCGTCATGAGGTCTCCCTCTCTTCCCCCACCCTGAGTTTGAGGCACGGAGGAAAAACTAATCTCAGCACAGGTAAAGTACGCTGTACTTCATGTGCAAATGCCCAAAGTCACTAGCCCACTCTCAAGTGCCTTTCAAGTGTGAACTGTCTCCCTCTCTTGGTTCCCCTCTTCTGCCAACAACTCCCCTAGATTTTCCCTCCTCTAACAAGGTGTAAGGATTAACAGAAACACACAACAGGTAAATCAGGTGAGAAAAGACGAAAAGATCAGGATCTCGGGATCTGGAGTGATGTGATCACGTGAAACCAGAGTTCTGGCCTCACACTTTTCTCCCCGGGGAAAGAAGCTGCTCTGTGGGGGAGCAGAAGGAAACAGGCCCGGTTTGCAGCATCGCGCCCCGCACTGCTGGCTCACTCGGTGGCGCTTGCCCTGGATCTTGGCACGGGCGATGTCCGAGGAGCCGCGACGGGGTCCGCGCCGGCGAACGCGGGCGTAGTTGGCTTCCTGAAATTCTTTCATTTTTTTCCTCTTCAGCCGGAATTGGTGGCTACAGCTCACATTATACCTGTGGGTCAGGGAACGTACAGGAGGTCAGGGGTGCTGCTATCCAAGACCACCTGGCTCCCCTGCTCTACATGTGAACTAGGATTTTAGGGGCCGATTTGGGGAAGAGAATGAAGGCAGAGGAGACGTTAGCTCTGAGTCTTGAGCGGATCCTGGGGAAGGGGTGTCTGAGGGAGGAGGGCAAGACGGAAGCCTACTGTACCTCTTAGCGCAAGTCATGGAGCAGAATCTCTTGGAGCCGCGGAACTGCTCGGCAGGGGCGTACTTCCCACAGTACTCACACTTCAAGAGGTTCGCCTTCTTATCTAGCTCTGAAAACAAGGCAGCGCTGCAGGGCTGCGGGGTTCCTGCTGCTGCTCAGGCCGCCTCAGGCCCCCTCAGGCCCAGCGCTGGACTCGAACTACTCTCAGCGCTCCCCCCCAAAGACCTACTCAGCCCGAGAATCCCGAAAACAAAGTTCAAAATCCAAAACCATCAAGACCTGTCCCTCAAGATGTCACAGTCTTCCTAACCTTAAGCCAGATGATCTCCATTATAATTTCTTCATAATTCATAGTGTCAGATTTGACTGCACTTTTCCACAGGAGAGAGGAACTAATTACTAATGCCTGGAAAGATGAGATTCCGCCCCCCGGCCCCGCGCCACACACACACACACACACACAGAGACACACAAGTTTCCAAAAGCAGGGGAGGGTAAAATGTAAGCAAGACTCCTTAACATATATTACAGAATCTAAAATAATGAGTACTGGAAACTAAGAAATAGCCTATTTCAGATTATCCTTTGAAAAACATATCCTTATAGTAAATAAACATCAGCTTGATAAACTTCCCCTTAGCCCTATGGGAACAACTTCTGTGTGATTCTACGTATTCTGATAT